ACCAGCGCCCAAAAGTACCTCCTTCACCCTCTTCCTTGGGTTTTCATTGCCTAATAGTTTTTGAAATCATTTGAGTATAAGTTTTCAAAGGGCTTCAGGAAAATGAAAATTTGATAAAATTTGATTTTGAAGCATTGTCTAGATTTGCTATGGATTTTTTGGATCTGCGGGGCTCCTCTGTTATGCGATGTGAAGGAGAAATGCGATGCATAGGCAATCGCCACAGCGTACTACTTACGATTTATTTGCTTATCGGCGGTGCCCCTAATTTTTTTTTTGTGTTTCGAGATCACGTATTTGGGGCACTGTATGCATGGAAACTTAAATGCATAAAATGTATCTGTACATACTTACATAGATATGACCTACCAATTACGCACTCAAATGTATGTACATATGTAAATACTAGTTTTCAATACACTCGAAATTTCGTTTTTTAGAACGGAAGATTCTCTGTGAATAATATAGTATTGGTAACTGACCAACGTCTAGCTCGTGAAATTAGCCGCATAGTTTACCCGTAGTAGTGGTGGTAGTCTCGGAACTAGCATTCTTCAAATAAATCTGAATTCATGTTTTTTTTTTGCTTTGTTTGTAACCTTTGAAAAAAGAAATCAATGCAGAGCTTTAGTTTGTAGCTTTAGCAGGAAGCAAAACCAATTTGTTATTGAATTCGGATTTAAAAATTCTTAAGCAAAAACTAGATAGTGACAACTAACCAATACACGACCAACTAGATACAAATATACATACAAATGTATGTGGATTAAAACTCACTCTTTTAAGCTTTCTCATCTCAGATCATGGAGAACACAGAATAGCGCTATGCCAACAATAAAAAGTATGGCGGAAAATTACATACTTACCTCTCGAATTTGAGGCAGTAGCTTGATTGGCAGATATCAATTTATTTTTTTTCTGTAAATTTCATTAAACTTTGAACGAGGTCCTATCGAACTCAGAAGCTTTTTTTTATATTTATGATAACCANCGAAAAAGCTATCACTTCTACCATTTTTTTCAAATTGTTGTTGCTTTTCCACAATAAGCTTTCATTAAAAAACGGCCTCAAGCTCAATAAAAATGGTTGAATTTTATAGAAATATATGTAGTTCATACAACAACATAAACCACACGAATCCATTTCTTCATTTCATGCAGAACTCGGATAAATTGTAGGAAATACCAAGAAATTCCAAAGAAATTTTCAATTTTTCAATTTGATTTCTTAGAAAATTACCGCTGATCTTTGAGAATTTATTTTGCCAAGGGTGGTGCGCATTTTCTACTACAAAAAAAAAAAAAACAAAACACATGAACACAATCTTTTTACCTCCCTTTTATTAGCTCGGGATGTAACTATGTAATATTGATGCGCCTAAAAGATGCAGCGATTTCTATTCTCAAGCTACATACCTGATGACAGTACGAATGGTAATTATAATAGCGATATATAATAATTTTATTTCATTACATGAAAGAGGCACCCAACACACTTCGCGAAAAAAATTCGCAAAAATCCACGGTAATTATTAGCGAGACCTGCTTTTTATTATATTAAAATTTAATGGGCTACAAAACTGTCTAAACAAATTTTTGCTAAGAAATTGCATTGAAAATTTGAAAATTTCTTGCATTTTCCCGAGTTTTTTATGAAATAAAAAAAAAATGTATTCTTGTGGTTTTTGCTATTAAATTAACTACATATATTTTTTAACCGACTTCAAAAAAGAAGGTGGTTAATAATTCGCCGGAATATTCTTTTTTTATGTACCCTTGTGCTCAGCTGATTAAGTCAAGTGACATTTTGACAGGTTTTNAAAAAAAAAAAAAAAACAAAACACATGAACACAATCTTTTTACCTCCTTTTTATTAGCTCGGGATGTAACTATGTAATATTGATGCACCTAAAAGATGCAGCGATTTCTATTCTCAAGTTACATACCTGCTGACAGTACGAATGGAAATTATAATAGCGATATATAATAATTTTATTTTATTACATGAAAGAAGGCACCCAACACACTTCGCGAAAAAAATTCGTAAAAATCCACGGTAATTATTAGCGAGACGTGCTTTTTATTATATTAAAATTGAATGGGCTACAAAACTGTCTAAACAAATTTTTGCTAAGAAATTGCATTGAAAATTTGAAAATTTCTTGCATTTTCCCGAGTTCTTTATGAAATTAAAAAAATTTATTCTTGTGGTTTTTGCTATTAAATTAACTACATATATTTTTTAACCAACATCAAAAAAGAAGGTGGTTAATAATTCGTCGGAATATTCTTTTTTTATGTACCTTTGTGCTCAGCTGATTAAGTCAAGTGACATTTTGACTGGTTTTGGGGCTTTTTTTCGTTTGTTTATATTTGTACGAAGTTTGAAATGTGGATTTATGTGGCGCTGGTTAGGTAAAGTGCTAAGAAAAGTAACCAAAACTACCGCATAACTTTGGACCACGTTAACCGATTTATATAATTTTTTTTTAGGAAAGGTGGTACCTCTATAAGTGGTCCCATTCCCATACTAACTTGGTTTAGATCCGATCGTTGGAACTTGAAGAAATGAACGGTACTCTTAAATTTATGTATGAGAATTGAAATCTGTTTCGTTTTTTGCTTAAACGTTACTTGTTTCATAATAACTTCATTATGATGGAAGAATAGGAATTTGAAGAAAAAGTGTTACAATAAAGGCACGCTGAGCAGGTTGGGTTTAAGTAAAACAACTTTTGGGAAATGTACTTAAATTTTCGTTTAGGTCCTTATAAAAAAGAAATGCGATGGAAGCGATAGTGTGAGAATTAGTATATTTTAGGATTAGATCTAAAGTGAGCTAACTCAAAAATCAGATCGGCAAATGTAACTGCTTATGGATCGTACAGATTCCAACGGATTTAATACAAAAAGAGTAGTTTTTTAGTTAGTGTANTTATATTTGTACGAAGTTTGAAATGTGGATTTATGTGGCGCTGGTTAGGTAAAGTGCTAAGAAAAGTAACCCAAACTACCGCATAACTTTGGACCACGTTAACCGATTTATATAATTTTTTTTTTAGGAAAGGTGGTACCTCTATAAGTGGTCCCATACTAACTTGGTTTCATTTAGGTCCTTATAAAAAAGTAATGCGATAGAAGCGATAGTATGAGAATTATATTTTAGGATTAGATCTAAAGTGAGCTAACTCAAAAATCAGATCGGCAAATGTAACTGCTTATGGATCGTACAGATTCAACGGTTTTAATACAAAAACAGTAGTTTTTTAGTTAGTGTTTATAATCATGAAGAAAATAATATTTGCATTCATTGGAGGTAAGTCCTATGCATTGATTTATGCAAAAAATTGTCCTAATTTTTTTGATTTGATCGCTTTTTAGATTAGATGTGGTGTGCGATATGAAGTACAAACATATGTGTATGAAGTTATATCATCAAACAATCTTGGAACTTCTCTCAAAAATTTTTTTTTTTTTTTTTTTTAATTTCGCATTATATTTCACCTACATAGTATTTATTAAATATGTGCATATATATGTATAGAATACATATTTACAAACCGCTCAAAACAGCCTCTGGCCATTACATCAACGGCAGCAGGCGTGAGTTTAGTCATCGACCTTCCAAATGGACTGTGAAGTTCAAGACAATTGGATTAGAATGCACTTGAAGACAGGCGAGGGCAAGTGACTACGAGGTTAGCGCCGCCCTCTGTCGAGCGGGCGGGGGTGGTGGTGGTGGTGGAGGTGGAGGTGATGGCCAGGCACCTGTTCGTCAGCAGTTAGCACTTCGTTCGCTGGTCAACAGTCGTCGTCGTCGTCGTCGTCATAGCACAGCGTATGTAGTCAATTGCCAATTGTGTTGTTGTCGTCGTCGTCGTCGTCGTCGTCGAGACTTTGGGAAGCCCTACATGGCCGACAAATCGGAAAATGTATGCGCGCTCAGGGACTCGGGATGTATTTGCTTCCGTGACTGCTGGACAGTTGTTTTTCGGNTTTCACCTACATAGTATTTATTAAATATGTGCATATATATGTATAGAATACATATTTACAAACCGCTCAAAACAGCCTCTGGCCATTACATTAACGGCAGCAGGCGTGAGTTTAGTCATCGACCTTCCAAATGGACTGTGAAGTTCAAGACAATTGGATTAGAATGCACTTGAAGACAGGCGAGGGCAAGTGGCTACGAGGTTAGCGCCGCCCTCTGTCGAGCGGGGGTGGTGGTGGTGGAGGCGGAGGTGATGGCCATGCACCTGTTCGTCAGCAGTTAGCACTTCGTTCGCTGGTCAACACTCGTCGTCGTCGTCGTCGTCATAGCACAGCGTATGTAGTCAATTGCCAATTGTGTTGTTGTCGTCGTCGTCGTCGTCGTCGAGACTTTGGGAAGCCCTACATGGCCGACAAATCGGAAAATGTAAGCGCGCTCAGGGACTCGGGAAGTATTTGCTTCCGTGACTGCTGGACAGTTGTTTTTCGATTTTTTGCCACTTCGGTAGGGCGCGCGTCAATGCATTCGTGTGCGAAGCAACGGAGCAGTGCTGTGAAATTTTTTAATATTTTTTATATTTTCTCTGTAATTGACATAACGTCAAACATAGCACGATTGTAAAGAGCTTTCACAGTTTGGGCGGCTGCTTACCTTACCTCTCAGCCGATTCTTCATTAGGGTTTAGAAATATTGTGAGAAATTTTCCTTTCTATTACACTTGCAATTTTTGGAATAAACTAAGAACTTATANGTTTTTTGCCACTTCGGTAGGGCGCGCGTCAATGCATTCGTGTGCGAAGCAACGGAGCAGTGCTGTGAAATTTTTTAATATTTTTTATATTTTCTCTGTAATTGACATAACGTCAAACATAGCACGATTGTAAAGAGCTTTCACAGTTTGGGCGGCTGCTTACCTTACCTCTCAGCCGATTCTTCATTAGGGTTTAGAAATATTGTGAGAAATTTTCCTTTCTATTACACTTGCAATTTTTGGAATAAACTAAGAACTTATATTTTTTTTTGCTTTCTATTTTCAGAGGTATATGGTATTTTTAATACGTTTTTACAAAGAAGAGAAACACGGAATCAGTTGTTGGCTGGGACAGGACAAACTTTAGGTTTTTTAACCCCAAAAATTGTGCAATAAGTAGAAGCGAGAGCGACAGCAGAAATCACTTGCAATCCATGTGAAAAGTGGAGCAAAACTTTAATTTAGTTTAAAATTAGCATATTCGAGCGTATTCGAGCGTATGTGCTGCACTGCAACATTGGTTGTTGCAACAACGGAAGTCACACGCCGCCACCCAACACCTACCGAAGTGGTGGTTAAGGAGCTACTCAAGAATCAATTGAAATCTTCATCGATCACAACAACATTGAGCGCAGAAAGGCAGTGCCAACCGCGCTCCTCCAAAAGTGCATAGCACAACGGTGGCCGAAACAAAGCGACGACCGCTGCATTGAATACAGCTGCAAAAGAGGCGGTAGCGATTCTTACAAAAGCGTTGTTTACTTTACTACTATATAACAAACATAGACAGTCCAGTAGTGGTCGGAACACCAGAGTGTGGTTAAGGGTGCGGCGTAAGCGGCCAAAAATTTAGCTAGCATGGAGTGCTGTTTATCGGAGGAGGCGAAGGAACAGAAGCGCATCAATCAGGAAATCGAACGGCAGTTGCGTCGAGACAAGCGCGATGCTCGAAGGGAACTCAAATTGTTGCTACTCGGTGAGTATTTTGCGTCGTATTTGTTGTTGTGGTTGTTGTTGTTGTAGCAGCATACAAATTCCCCAAAGACTTTTTGGGGAGTGTTGCTAGAGTGACAGTCATTGGCCAGATAGATATAAATCTGGGTCGTTCCGATTACGTAGACCCGACTGTCGTGGGAGCGTCGTATTTGTATGATTGTGTTGGTTGTTGTGACGCTCTACATTTCTTAACTGGTACGTAAATCCAGTTAGAACTTGGTGGAACCCTTAAGCCAAAATAGTAACTTTGACTGACGCCAAAGTAACAGCTTGGCTTGTCATAAAAGTAGATAGATTATTTTTGGTTGTTGATGCTTCCGATGATTTCCGAATGATTTCCGTCAGCAAACGAAAAATAACAATGAAGATGCCAAAAAGCCAAAATCGGCCGTCACTGAACATAATTTGACAAGGGAAAAAATCTCTTTCTCTCTTTGTTTATCGCCAATTATATAAGTTAATAGAGGTATTCATCCAACATCACAAACTACCGATAAACGTGATAAAATTATAAATTTGAATAATTTTTAAAAAAGTTTTCATGTGTTTTTATGCTGTTATTGCATGTGTAATTGTTTCTATCACACGATCCTTGGACGTCTCAGACAAGCTTTATCTGCAGGGCCGAAAATTTTAAGCCTTTGCTTGGAATTGCTTATTCATTGTTTCCAAGCTTAGTTTTAACGACCATTAATATTTCGCTTATTTTAATATATAAAGCTAAGTACGGATCAAGAAAAAAAAATTTCCATTCTTTTCTGTGTGTGAATAGTAGTGTCCATGAAATTTTGACATCTGAACTTGCACAGTCTGCTGTCTCACTCTTTATTCACGAAATAATTGAACGGGCGTATATTTATGTTGAAAACATAGGTTGTGCCTTGTGCTCTTTGTTCACAAAAGACTTTAGAAAACCTTAGTAGAGGGCCTATCAAATTTCATAAGAAAATTTGGCTTAAATTTTTCTGAGCTTTTCTTTTATCTGGATCGTTGGCAGTTTTCAACTTATTAGGTGCAATCCCGTATTCCTCGGACTCGGACTAGTAAAACTGTCAAAAAATAAAAATTCGCTCAGAGCGAGAGAGTAACATTGAAAAGTACGGGATCGCTTTCTAGTAAAAAATGGTAACTTCTGTCAACTTCAACATAACCTCCAAATTTTGGTTGTAAATTTTTGCTTATTTTGTATGTAAACACACTCAGCTCACACATGTAAATAACCAAAACTACTTTCAAATTAGTTAGAATCCACTTAAACAAGAAATTAAATACTTTTCAACATGAATTAGCAGAGTGCACTCTTCTTTTGTTTACAATTTGGTTGCCAAACACACTACAGCTGATCGTTTGACACATTTACCAGAATTTACCTGCAAAAACTTCTCGGACTAAAACTGGTAACTTCTGACAGAGAGAGAACCGTATTTACTCTCTTTTTTGTCCTCTCAATAGTCAGAGAACAGAGTACGGGATCGATTTCCAGTAAAATCTGACTGATTCTGACTATTTCTGACTAGTCCGGACTCGCACGGGATCGCAATTATTATATTATGAGATACGAGAAATTAGAGAAAAGAGGAAGAGGTTGATAGGTTATGTATTCGAATAGAAATTAGTAGTACGACTGAAAAGCATATTTATTTGTGTTGTTGGCTTGATCGGCCTAAGTAGCAGAACAAAATAAGAAACAAAAGTACAATATGCTTCAGGAACTAACGGTGCATATGTATTTTCGTTACTATCGGTTGAAACTCAATTAAACAACTTTTTAAGTGAATAAAATAATGGTATTTCTATTCTTTCATTCCTTGCAGGCACTGGTGAATCAGGAAAATCGACATTTATTAAACAGATGCGTATTATTCACGGCAGCGGTTACTCCGACGAAGATAAACGGGGTTACATTAAATTAGTCTATCAAAATATATTCATGGCCATGCAGTCGATGATCAAGGCTATGGATATGTTGAAAATTTCTTACGGCAAAGATGAGCACGGTGTAAGTAAAATCTTAGAAAATTAATGTTAAAATTTAAAGGCCAAAATACAATAGCGCAGTGGCAGTGGCAGTGACAGTTTTTCAAATCAGCTGTTACTGCAAATATTGGCAGTCACTGCCGCAGCAAATACAATACGGCGTTGTCAGTGGCAGCTTTTTTTTGGCATTCCCTTTTGTTTGTTTACATTTTTGTTGTTGTCTTTTAGGCTTCAGTGACATGAATAGATAGAAGTTGTCTGCATTTTATTTATGTCAAATTCAGCATGCGAAGTTTAGAATTTAGGCTAAACTGAGCAGTACTGCCAGCTGCCACTGCTGTATTGTGAGTCGCTTCATTGGACAGCACACTTTCTAAAAAACAGCTGATTTCGAAAAACTGCCACTGCCACTGCGTTATTGTATTTTGGGCTTAAAACTAACCGTAGCAGTCACTGTATGCACTTGAGATGTTTCGAATATCATATTTTTCACATTCGCGAATGCGAATGTGCGAATGAGAATGTTAGAAATAACATTAAAAAATCTATAATCAACTGTAGCATACATATGTATATCGTCGCCTGGGTAAAAGATTGTCGTATGTTACGCATTCGCAAAATATTCGTGTCATTTGATGCGAATGCAAATGTGTAAAATGATGCGAATCATTTGCATAACGAATGCGAATGCAAATATTTGCAACATCCCTGGTATGCACATACAGTTTTGGCCAATACAATAGCACCCCCATTTTAAAGTGATATTGTTTGCCACTCATGTTTATTTATTTATTTTTAGGAATTTTCTATTAAAATACAGTTCATTCTCTAACAAAACGCATATAAACCCAAGTTTAAAACTTTCAAGAAAACTACAAAAAATTCAGTAAATTTTCACCAAAATTTTAAACTTTTTTCTCAGAAGTGTTAGAATTTTTTCAAGTGGCTAAAAATTACCTTGGATTTTTTTTGGATTTTTTCGCCGAAGGCGTTGCGGGTTTCTTCCATATAAAAATAAATTGTGTTTATTCGTTATACGGAAGCAAATGCGACAAAAAAAAATCTAAAAAATCAACGGTAATGTTTAGCCACTGGAAACTTGGACATTATGCGACTAAAATTAAATGAGCTATAAAACTGTGTACTCAAAAAAATTCTAACACTTCTGAGAAAACTTGGGTTTATATGAGTTTGATAGAGAATAAAAATTAATTAAACATAAGTGGCAAACAATATTACTTTGAAATGGGGGTGCTATAGATATGTGCAATCCTGCGAGTGGAAAATAAAAGGGACACGACATTTTCACCAGGTTTGGCTATTTTCCTTTTGTTTGCTTAATGTTTATTATTATTTTATAAAAATACAGCTGACTATCTTACAAAACCAGTGCAAATTTTAATAGAAAAATTCAGCAAAATTTTACAACAACAACCATTTTGTTAAGAATTTTTAGAAAAAATCGTAAGTATGCAGTTTTATAGCCCATTTCAATTGGCTAAGATTTTTGTTGAAGTTTTCTCATTTTTCTACATAGTTTCAAATTTGGACCTATCGGGTTTTTGTTAGATAATCAGCTGTATTTTTATATAAAAAAATGAACATTAAACAAACAAAAGAATAAATAGCCAAAACTGATGAAAATATCGTGTTCATAATGTTTTTCACATTACTATATGTACATATATTTAAATGGCATATATGAAGCAATTACTTATTTCCTGTAGACTGACTCACTAACTTGTAACTTCTTTAAACAGGAGCTTGGCGAACTGGTGATGAGTATCGATTACGAAACAGTCACCTCATTTGAAGATCCATATTTGTCAGCTATTAAAACGCTGTGGGCGGACACTGGCATACAAGAATGTTACGATCGACGAAGAGAATACCAACTCACAGATTCGGCAAAATAGTGAGTACTTTAAATTTGTGTTTTTGAGAGTGTGTTTTGGATGGCAATACCTAATGCTATAAATGAAAAAAAAATAATTCAAGGCTTTATGACGATGAAGATGCATATTATAAAATGTATATATGTTTATATATATATTTATTAGTTATCTGATGGATCTCGATCGCGTGGCTCAACCAGATTATTTACCAACCGAACAAGATATTTTGAGAGTACGTGTGCCGACAACGGGGATAATTGAGTATCCCTTCGATTTAGAAGAGATTCGATTTAGGTACAGCATATAAAACCGCACAGCAATTGCTAGTGCTTTGGTTATTTTTGTTAAAGTTTCTACTAATTTGTCTTATTACTTATTTAATATAAAAGTCTGCTAATCCTAAAATATTTATTAAAAAAAAACGAAAATCGTTTGATTTGTTTTCGTCGTTTTGTGCATGTGTGATTTACGTGTCATTTTGTGTTCGCCACTAACCATTTTTTTTTTGTTTTTTTTACTTTGCTGGAATTTCAAATTATGTAAACGAGAGATAGAGTTCAGCTATTTCGTGTGTACGTTAGGGTGGTTCTTCTTATGCATTTTGTCGGAAGATGATTCTTCGAATTAAAATATCCACACATTATTTAAAAGATATGCATTTCGTATTGGTCATTTAATTCAACTTGAAATTTAACAGGAATGTGAGCTCATGTTTACGTTTTTGGTTTGACAATGCGCAGCTATCTCAGCGATCTTCCGCGTATCGAACTGCCAGACTTTCTGCCCACCGAGCAGGATATTTTGCGTGCTCGTGTGCCCACCACAGGGATACTTGAATACCCATTCGACTTGGACGGTATTGTATTTAGGTATACATTTTTTGTTTTTGGAGACAAAAAAAAGAAAAAGTGCAAAAGTACGGCTAGAAAAGAAAATACACTATTTCGTAAAAATGTTCTGGCTAAGATCTTTTAGAAAAGTTTTGAATGCTTCATTGATCATATGCTTTAGTTTCGTTGCTTCTCCATTAAACCGCAAGTATTTAGTATATATCGCTATCATCAATGCAAACGGCCGCATTTGGCAATTTTTGGAGTGAAACTTCATTAACGGAGGTAGTGAAACTAGAAGTCGTCACCAAAAAAAAAAAGTGACACTTGGGATGAAACGGAAGTGCAACTTTCTTCCGTCTCTCTCTGCTTCCGCCTGTATTAATATTAGGAATGATTTACCAGATTGCTAAGCAGCGGTTTTTGAAGTTAGTACTGACTAAGGTTGAATGGAGATAAAGACAAAAAAAAATATTAAGATTTGGGATGAGATTAAGATTAACTGTTAATCGCTTCTATGGGCGTAGTTTAATTCATATGCATAATTTTATACCAATTGAAATATTCTGAATTAGCATAGTCAAGAAATAAACCGTTAGAAGTATCACTTCCGCGGTGTAGCTCAGCCACATAGTATTTTGTAAACATATTGCATTGATTTCATATCAGATGGCCAACCAAAAAAATTATTTTTATATTTTGAAAAATTGCCTTTTTATTGACCCTTTACAACAGCTCCTGTTTGTAATTTTAACGAGCTCCTGGAAAATTTGAAGTTCGCCAAATAGTGCATTTCGCTTTGAAGACATAAACTTTCATTTGTTTGCTTTTTACTAATTACTTCTGGTGTATATATTTATCAACTAATATTTTATTCCTTCTTCTATATACCCGCTATTTTTTTCTCCTTGCTATTTCCTCTTCCGCTTTTACAAAAATCAATCAACTGATTTCGTTTGTATTTATCGTCAATTCCCGTACTTTGCTTAGAATGGTGGACGTGGGTGGTCAGCGTTCCGAAAGAAGAAAATGGATTCATTGCTTTGAGAATGTGACATCAATCATATTTTTGGTTGCGCTATCGGAGTACGATCAAATTTTGTTCGAATCAGATAATGAGGTAAGTTAAACACAAGTTAATAAATAAATAAGTAGAGAGTGTTCATGGAACTAAGTATCTTTTCATTCGCAGAATCGCATGGAAGAATCAAAAGCTTTATTTAGGACTATTATTACGTATCCGTGGTTCCAAAACTCATCAGTTATTCTTTTCTTAAACAAGAAAGACTTGCTAGAGGAAAAAATTATGTATTCGCATTTGGTAGATTACTTTCCCGAATATGACGGTGAGTAGTGTACCCTTGCATATACAAACTTATTTAAGTAGCTGTAAAATATTGCATTCCAATATCTAAGTGGCAATTGTGTTAATTTTGCCCATATATCCTTTATTATATTGACAATTTATGAATAACTTAAGGACCGAAATGTGATCACGCTGCCGCTAAACAATTTGTCTTAAAAAAATATCTGGCTGCGAATCCTGACCCAGAACGTCAGTGCTATTCCCATTTCACAACAGCTACAGGTTACACACAAAATATAATTTTCACAATGCTTTTCAGTGCTTGTTGGTGATCTAAGCGCTATTGAGATTCGAGTTAAGCTAGGCACACACTGTATTGACTTAGTTTTATGCAATATATACATTTATGTATTTGTATGTACATACATATTTAGCTGAAGTACTTACTATATGTATGTATGTAGTAGTGTATTGATTTAGAAATGTTATAACAGTATCGCTTGTATGTGCTCTTTTTCCATATTCTTCAACTTAATGCTATTTAGGTCCACAAAGGGATGCGATTGCCGCCCGAGAATTCATACTTCGCATGTTTGTAGACCTTAATCCAGATTCCGAAAAAATCATATATTCTCATTTCACCTGTGCTACGGGTAAGTACATATCGGCACGTATTTAAATAATTGCGAGTAATTGACAGAATTGTATGTACGTATGTATGTATGTGTGTGTGTGTGTGTGTGCGTATCAGAGTGAATAATTTTGAAATATTTTAAGTGAATGATTAGGCAAATGAAAGCGGAGATTTTGATTGAATTGAACAGCGGCGGTATTGACTTTCTTCTCGGACGTGAGGTAATCAATTATTTAAATCATAAAAATCACGGTAATGATGCGCTATTTTGCATTTAAACTGTAATGCTTCTGTAGTATAAAGCCTGTAGTTGATGGATATGTAAGCTCACTTGCTAGACTTTGGAAGGTCTAATGTTGTTGCCGTTTAGTTTTGAGTTATCTTGGATATTCTATTAAATAATTAATTAAAATATTTAAATCTGTACCCAAATATGCGCACGCACACCTTTTGGATTCTGCGACATCGTACTTCGCGAAATTTCGAACAGATACTGAAAACATTAAACTAGTGTTCTGCGCTGTAAAGGATACCATAATGCAAAATGCTCTAAAGGAATTCAATCTGGGTTAAATGGTCATCGTTAATTGACGACTAACCGAAATTGGACTAAACTAAACGCTTCATGTGTTGCGCATCTAATTATCTACATACTTGCCTCTACCCATCGCACCGTCTTGTGTATTTGCTTCGCTACTTAATACATACGTACATATTACGATTTTAACAATCAACATTGGCTTATTATGCTCGCAAAAAAAAATTTTAAAAAATATAAATATTCATTTTAATAAAAAGAAAATAAATTTAACTAATTTCCACAAATTTTAAAAATAACGATGCCACTTAAAAGAGTTATATCGTTAAATTTGGGTTTCTTAAATGTAACTAATTTATTTAAGCAATCGTTAATAAAACACATTGTACAACATGGTTTCACTTTCGCTGTTCAGTCAACGATGATGGACCTGCTGATCTCGCGCTCCAAAGTAACGAAATATTGTTTCGTACCATCTTAGCTGGTTTACATTCTTCCAAAGGCATCGCAGTCCAGCTATAAGTTATTTTTTATCTGCATAGTATAGTCTATATGCCAGAAGCACGAATGTGCAAATTTATCAGTTTTGAGTTATTTTGGCTTGACTTGGTTAACCTTTGGATGTTCCGTTATTATACCAAAACCCAGGATACAATGCGTACACGGAAACCACATATTTTAAAATTTTGATTGCATAAATGTAGAGTTAATAGTTGATTTCCACCAAGCCTTAACTGCAGTTTATGCCTCTTGGAAAAGGAGAAGGTGGTAGTTTTCCACCTTTTAAGTAAAAGGAAACGAAAGGAAAAAAACAAAAATTAAGAAAAAAAAACCTTTCCGATGACCCCATGTTGTTATTATTTGAACATTTCCGAGCTCCGAGCTGCAGTTAAGCCTTTGGTGGAAATAGCCTATTAATTTTTATTTTTTTCCTTTTGGTTGCTTCTACTTAATAGGTGGAATTACCCCTTTCGAGTTGTAATCTCCGTTTTTCAAACGGCATAAACTGCAATTAAGGCTTGGTGAAAATCAACTATAAGTCTCGTGAAAAAAAAAAATTCAAACTTGATTTCCCAAAATGCGACCAAAGTAGTAAGCGCGCTCAAATTCCGCAGAATTCTCGCATATGGTATATTCCATTGTCACGGATGGGACATTTTCACAGCAAAATTTTTCTTTCTTTTTCAGATTTAGGTATATCGCACGTTTAATAATCATGTAGCTTCTGCAATTCACTTCCGAGTGAATTTCAACCACTGCCAATTTGCATTCAAAACGAATTTGACTCAAATTCATTCGAAACTGAATTGCGGAACCTGCCTGAATATAGAAAAGTAATTAAATATTTACGTTTTTGAAGATTTCAGCAATGAATAAGCTTTATAAGAAGAATATATTAAGCCTAAAAGATGGCAAAACTTCCCAAAAATGGACCTTCTATCTTTTTGTATAACAACTGTATGAATTCATCAAACTTTGAATGCGTTTTACCACAAAATTGAAATTTCGAAATAATTCTGTATATTATTAAACGTGGGATATAGTTCACTAAATTCGAAAGAAATGGATACATAATTTTATCTGCGAGAATACTGTGCTGTTTCGTCTATAACGGTCTGGAAAAAATATACACTGTGGAGGAAAACTATTTTATGGAAACTCTGTAAATTTATTACACATTTCATTCTGAATTAAGTAGAGCCAGGAATATTAATAAAGTAAAAACCGCAAAAATCGTAATTTAATAATAGATAGGCGCTTACACATATGTTGGTGTTTGGCCGAGTTTCTCCTCCGATTTGTGGCGTGCGCCTTGATGTTATCACACAAAGAGGAAGGACCTACAGTTTTACGCTGACTCCAAACGGCGATTGTTTTTTTTATCAGAAGTTGTTTTTTTCGTGGCAGAAATACATTCGGAGGTATGCCATTGCCTGCCGAGGGGCGACCGCTAGTAAAAAAAAAAACGTGGCCTTCGGAATGGACTATAATTAGACTCTAATCAATTGAGGTCTGGGCACCAGCTGGCCAATCATCCGTCCAAAATGAAGCTCGTAATATGATTAGGTGTCGATTTTCATTTATGAAGTGGAGCGAAGTCTTGTTGAAACTATTACAGAAGCCGGCTTTTAAGCACGTTGAACCCTCGGAACGAGTTTGGAGGCATGTCGTGATGACAAAGCATACCTATCGTGGAATTTTTTTTTCGGAAGTAAGAATTCATTTGTGAACGTTTTTTGTGTCCTGGCGAATAAGGCAAATCACGTTTTACGGGCACATTGCGTAAATGTCACTTTTCAAATAGCCGTTAAGTTATTCTGGGTAATGCTGACCGATTACTGAGAATGGGTGTCTTCTAGTCGCGTGCCAACACTTTCTCTATTAGTAAGTTGATACATAACAAGTAAGAAAGTCTAAGTTCGGGCGGAGCCGAACATTAAATAAATACCCGGCGCAAGTTTTAAATATATGTTTTTCACCTTTCCGAAAACTACCGCTACATGGTAAGCAGGGATGGTTTTAACCCATATTTTATACATCTTCGATAGAACGTTCAGTTAGAAATAATGAGATAAACTTACATATATAGTCATATGTGGGCGGCATCATGCCCATTTTCCAAAATTCCAAATAATGTAACCTATTTTCCAATCCCTTGAAAGTATCAATTTTGAGTAAATTAGCGTCTTTAAATTTCGAAATATAGAAGTTTCAAGCATTTCTGAAATTTACCGTTATATGAAAAGTTGCCGTAATTTTAGTCCGAGTTCAATAATTTTCAACATAACATTTTGCTTTTATGTGCCAAGTACAATAACAATACCGAGTTTTGAACAAATTGGTAGAACGGTTACCGAGATACATATATGTGATCATAAGTGGGCGGTGCCACGCCCATTTTCCAAAATTTTATCATAAACGTATTTCTTGGTAAAGATTTATTGCAAGCATCAATTTTGAATAAATTAGCTGTAGTATTTACTGATTTATCGAAGATTTCATATTTCTCTAAATTACCGTTATATGGGATGTGGACGTGGTTATTGTCCGATTTTAAATATTTGGTACGTTGTACCAAGGCAAACAACTGAGCCAAGTTTGGGAGAAATTGGTGGAGCGGTTACCAAGATATAAACATAAAATCATAAGTGAGCGTGGCTGCGCCCATTTTCCAAAAATTTGTAATATTCCTATTTCTTGTCTAAAAATGATTTTAAATATCAATTTTGAGTGAATAAACTTCAGTAGTTACTAAAATATCGCAGTTTTCGTATTTCTGAAAATTACCGTTATATGGGAGGTAGGCGTGGTTATTGTCGAATTTTGCCCATTTTCAATACGATCCGTCCTACGCCCGAAAGAAGTACACGTACCAAGTAAATTTTTAATCGAGTTATCGTGTGCGCAGACGGACGGACGGACAGACAGTCACCGCTTAATCGATTTCTCTTTTCATTCTGATCATTTATGTATACATTTGTCTATATCTATCTCGATTCGTTTTGCCTGTTACAAACAACCGTTATGTGAACAAAGTTATAATACCCACGGGCAAAAGTGCGCTCGAGTATACAAATTCAAAGTGATGATGGGCTGCAAATACATACATAGGTATATTAGCAACCAGATAGTAGGAGCTTTAAGGGGGTGATAAGTGCACGGTTTGAAAGGGGTTTGCGCACTTAGATGCGCATATATCGCACACGTTCTTCAAAAAGGTATTAACCCGAAATTAAGAAAACACTAAAGATTATTTCGTACTTGTAAATCATATAGTAGGCATGCGAGACATTACTTCAGAATTTTGCTACAAATAACAACGAAATTTGGGTGCCGCTTTTGCCAGAAGGTAAATAAATGGTAGGTGAGAATTTTTAGCGCATTATATCAAAAATTACAATCGTAGTATTCATCTAAACCGATAACTTTATCAAACAGATAATCTTATAAGTTTACGCACTGTGTTACATGAACGACCCACACTCTCTTTTCGTTTACACATGCGACAATAGTCGTGTTTTCTTGGGTTATAGAGTACAGTATAACTTTATACTACTAGCACGAAGATAAAGAAAATTATAGAAACTAACTCACTAAATGAGAAACAATTATATTTACGGGATAATATCTTTTTAAATATATATAAAGGGTATTCAGGCTATACTCGTTAAGGTCTTAATTCGGTATTCGGTAACTCCCACCATTGTTTTGTTATTGTAAATTTGCGAATATATCATTACCAACTTAACGAGGTGGTGTAAGTCTGATAATGTGGTAATACATGCGTAAAAATGTCATTTGATTCCTTTCTGTCACTTATTTTCTGAAAGTTTCTCGTGCGAAAAGTGTATGCATTTTATCAAAAGTTCAATAAATCTTTCTGTCGTGGAATTCATAAATGTTTATAAATAAATAAACTTCACGTCAGGATCATATCGTTGTTGCTGAATTTGCGTGCAAAATTTGTATGCGGATCCCGATTAATGCCCAAGAAAACATAGCTAGAGTTGCGACAGAGTTGCATTGGCTTCAGTTTATCAAGTTTATTCAGTGAAATCGCTGGAGAAATTTATCAGGAATGTGTAAACGAGTTCCCATACAAATTTTGACAGTTCATTTATAAGTTTATACGGTTTACAATGCATTTATAAGGTTTGATGAATACCCTTAATATTTGAATTAACACACTTTTGAAGAGCATATGCCGTTTGTACAGTGACGAGCAAAAGTATTAACACAGAGAATTTTTCGCAATGTACTTTCTACTACCCAAAAAAAAAAACATAAAAATAAAATCTCTAAATTTTGTGCAAACTCAGGAAAATTCAATAAATTTGCGCACTAAATCGCAACGTTCTATACAACAAAGTGTCAGTTTGAATTTGAATATCTTAAGTTCCTGCAAATCAAAGTCGTAGTTACTATTTAGTCAACGTTATCCTCCGCAGACGTTGAATGATGGAGGGCGATAAGAGTCTTGTTTTTATTTTGATTTATAATGAGGTAGAGAAAGCTGTGTGATTGCGTTATTGTGGTATGTTTGAAAAAGTATGTGTGATATAATATTAAAGGTGGTCCATATATAAATAAGCAATCCAAACGCTAAATAATAGGAGGGGTATTCTCGAAGTGTTGCATAGCCCTTGCACGGTAAACGAATTGCACGGATTGCATGGTTAAAACCGGTTTTCCTATGGCACAGCTTTGCAAACCATGCAAAGGC